GCTGCCAGGGCTGCTGCACTGGCTGCCAAGCACCTGCTTGCGTCAAAGCTGCTTGAGCCTGGCCACAGGCGTGGAAAACCGTCACACATGTCCCTCCAGGTGTGACATACAACTAATAAGCAACAAAAACACTCACCAAATGTCGAAGGCATCGCAGCTATTTGTAAGATGTGACAGGCAAGAAAAATAGAACTGAAATTCTGCATTCCCAACATATCCCAACATAAAAACAGAAGGACACCACTGGCCACTGTCCGAGGCATGCGCCGTCTTTTCAGACCATGGCCGAACCCTCGGCCGTCTTCTCCCTACCCATGGCCGCTGCACCCCGCCCCAGCACACCTGCTGTGCCGCATGGTGTCCATTCTTCAAAGCCAAAAGCTGCGGTGCTTGCGGCAAGGCCATCAAGCCCAGTGGCAAGGGAGCCACTGGCTCGGGTGTGCACCTGGGAGTGGCAGACGGTTTTCATCCGAACGAGGGATGAAGTACATTGGACTGCTTGTCTATCTGCTTGCCTCTCTCTCTATCCAAATCTGAGGGCCTGGCTTGAGATGCCAACCTGGATCCAAAGACCTGAGCCAGCCCCTACACCAACCCAATTGCACGACGTATACAGCAGTAGGGGCAGGCCGAGCAGGCCCCTCTGTTGAGACGAAAGCCGCTGATCCCAAAAGCGGCAGCGGGGATGTGGCAAGACCCATGTGACCACAAAAGAGCAATCCGGCAGTAGTAGTTGTGGTGTAGAAAGGTTGTAGTTTTGGAAGAATGACCCCATGTTACCAGATCATCAAGGCAGGTTTGGAAGAAATGTGTTGAACAATCGCAAGTCCCACACTTGATCGTATTTGGGGAGTCTTCTTCCAAGACGCAGGTTCTAAGCTTGGCTGGTAGGGCGATGGCAGGATTTTTTAGGGGGGGCTGCCAGCCACGCCGTTTGGCCGCTGAAACGGGATGAAACGTCCCACCTTCTGGTGTCTGTTTTCGCGTGCGGATACCTCCGGTGAACAAAAAAACCACGGCGTGATGGCCCAACTTCAAATCCCACAACCTCACGTCCCATGCCTTGTCAATCAGGGCACAAAACAAGTGATGATCTTGCAACGTCTAAAGACACTCACACACACACACTTCACTTCGCAAACACATTCACCAACTATTCCAATGACCCATTACCCAATGCATACCTCATGATACCCCGGCCACCCTGTGTGACCATCCCTTTCCTTTCGGAGCCCACCAGACCGGCTTCACCCGAACTTCACCGGCCCAAGGCACTGCAACTGCGTGAGCAACTTTTCCGCCACCTGAGGAGTTCATTCAGCGCTCAAGCGCTTTGGGAGGTTCGGACATGGTACCCAAACACTTCATGTATGGAATATTGAATATTACATATGTCCTCCATTTATGAGCCTAATGTTTGAAATGTTTGCATGTGCCCAACTTCCTGGTGTATGAACAAAAGATGTTCTCGAGTTGCCGCCACTGCTCAAGACGACATGGCATCTTCCACCATGCAAGCACGCTGAACCACTGGTCAAGATGCGGTTCGGGCTACCTTGTTTAGTTCACCTTGACCGAACACCTCTATGTGTGGGAGGTTCGCGAGGACGCACTGCCGAGAGCCAATGCCAGCCAGTGCAATGGGAGTGCATTCGACGCGATACACCGTGGGGAAGGTCTGTTATACGATCCTAACGCCCCAGCTCTCTGTCGCTTTGCATTTGTGGGCCCTGGACATGCCGACAAAAACCACGCCTCTCTCTCTCTCTCTCTCCCTTCTGTGACTCTCGCCAAGGCCGACGCATGATCCAGTGACATCTGCTTCACGAGGTGCTCAAAATCTGAGGGTTTCATAAGCACCACCTGCGGATGGACCGAGATCCAAACGGAACCGACGAGGGATCCCGAGCAAAAACCCATTCCGCACCGATCCTCCGAGTCGGCTGAAGGCTTCGTCCGAGAAGGGAAGGATCCCGTACTCTGATCGAAATCCAACCCATTGAGATAGAGGAAGTCCCCACTGATTGGTATAGACATACTATTATATATATATATTGTATTTACAGTATTTGGCTTGTCAGGTAGTGCAGGAATTCTTTGTGGTTCAGCTGGTATGCACTCCTTGAATTAAACTTGTGTATTTTGGCCGGGCAGCTCAACTCGTGGATACTACAGTACATGATACTACTATGGGACCAAGCACACTCAAAAGGACTTCTCCATATCCTTCAAGACGCTCTCCTTCAACACAACAAGACTCATCGAGTTTAAGACCTGCCATCATGGCTACAGTGGTGCCGCAGAGATAGTTTCAGGATTTGCAGTCAAACTGAAAGCCAAATCCACTGAACTATCCGCTTGGGGGACACTCCAGATCCCTCATCCTCATCCTGTCCAGATGCCTGGGAAAGGACACGTAGCACGGCATAAGCCAGCTTGTTCGAGATGATCCCGTAGGCGGCCTATCCCCACGAACTCCAAGTCACTCCGAGGATCAACCCAATATATCAACGCAGGCACCGCGGTGCCTCCTACGGATTATCTAAGAGGATGATCAACCAGGATGATCCAATATCCATTGATTTACAGATTCAGATACTTGCCAAGAGAACCTGACGATTCATGTCTTCGCCAGCAAACCTCGCTCGTGACATGTTATGGTTTAAGCCATACTTCTTTGGCACGCATAAACAGCATTATATACTTATACTGACTTATACTAGTGATACAAACTCCGCCTCCCTCTGCGCTCAGCCTGCTGTTCTTTGACCTCCCTCCTCCATGGGCATGGCGAAGACCGGCCTTCCGAAAAATGGGCATCATCAACCAATGGCTCCTTTGAGATTGATCAACCCGCTAGTTCAACGTCGTGATCCAAGTTCTCAAATGTATCTCGATCTATCAACGTAAAATTGATTATTGACTATAGATCGACATATTAACTTAATGTCATTGTATAACAACATCCGTCTATCTTCACAGGGATTCACACTTTACATGAGTCGAACGTTTCAAACAATTACAGGGTGATGTTGAAAGCCGGTAAAGCGATTTGATCAGCAAGCGGTCTCTGGTGCCACGCCTGCGAGAATCCGTACCATTCATGGGACTTGGGTAAGTGGGTACAGGTTTCTTGGTGGGAGAAGCATTCCTGGCACGGAAACTACTAAGCCTTGCCTCATCCTGCGACAGGTGGGAATGTTGCTGAGTAGCCGTGCCGGTAGAAGACTTCTTCATGCGTCGTGTACAGGAATGAGAAAACAAGCTCGGTCAAAACTCATGGATTCCCCGAAGGAGCCATGTGCTATGTTTCACTCACACTCCGCTTGGATCTCAACACCGGAGACCGAAATCTGGTGCCACGATCGTCCCCAAAGTACAACACTGGGTGACAACCTGGCAGGTTTGTTACCTTGCTTTCGGTAAGTTGATTCCACATGACATGCTTGCAATGGTGGCGTCTGGCTTTGGCTACAAGCAGCGTCGATTCCCCATGGCCTGTCTTAGCCCGTCGCGGATGGCCCGCTTTTTTTCAACGTGATTCGGCCCGAGGAATCCATTTCAGCCAGGTCACCCACCTTCAAAGACCCTGAAACCACTCAGATGTTTTTGTTTCCGCAAGTCAAGGAACTTGCTGGCTGCATGACTTGCTCATCCATTCATGTAACATCATGATACTCATCATATAACATCATGTAACCATAACACGTCCAAGACATCCCATGGGATGACATAACATCCCATGAAATCCCCATGGGAAAAGGCCATGAAATCCCATGGGAATCGTCCACAACGAACCCCGGACGAAAGCCACACACCCGCCTCTCTGAGGCCCAGGGGTGCTGCTGCGCTCGCGGGGAGCATCCCAGCGGTGGCCTCGGCCTCAGTGTCACCACTGCTTCCAACTCCAGTCGACCCTAGGGGATTACTCCTCTATTGGCCTAGGGAAATGGCCATCTGGATCTCTCTCCTGCTCTTCTATCTCCTGAGGCCCGGATTCGGGTGTACATCCGGCCTCTCTTTCTTCGTGCATACGTGAACCCAATAAACCTCTGGCATCGGTCTCTTCACCCAAAAAGCGCGTGGTGGTCGGAGCAAATGTGACGTAGGCCGACATGAGTGGCAGAAGGGCAGAAGGTAACCAAATCCAATGTGGACTTTGTCTTGGAAGGTGTTTAATCCAAATCATTCCAAATCTCACCAGCTTGGACCGAATCCAAATCTTCACAGCCAGGTCAACACCAGGACCAGTCGTTCTGTGGCTGTGTTTCCCGACGGCTAAACTCAGGCGTCCGGGGACCTTCACTGCGGCCTCATGGGTTGCTGGTCTATCTCTCTGCTTACATTTGCATCAACGTGCCTTTAGACATCTTAGACTCATACATTATACTAATTTTAATGTGATATAATGATTATAATGCGATGCCATTCAATGACTTTCATATAGAACACCAACATGACGTAAACACGTTCAGAATCCACCACCTGACAAACATGGATCAACTGATATCGCCTTCACAGAAACAAAAAGCAGAAGACCATCTGGTGGGATAAGGAAAACCCAACGCTTGTTACGCAACAACTTGTGTGTATATATATACTCAATTATACTCGTATATGGTTAATATATGATTAGTTATATGATTATATACGCACTCTGGCTCTAACATGGAAGTGGAAAATGGTCCCTTGGAAGACAACGTTCCTTTACAATACAAAGGTGGAGTTGTCCGCTTCCATGTCAGTGTTGGACAGAGCGTAGAACCGTCGAGTATTCAAACGGGAGCCCTGCAAACCAATCGTGGTATTTTGTTTCCATGGGCTGGATTGTGGACTGCTTGCGCAAACAGTCGATATACTGCAAATGAACAATCTCCTGCACCGACTGACAGAAGTTCGTGTACCCTGTGCTGGTGCTTGCAGTCATCTGGTTTCATAATGTTCATCTATACATGAAGTGGGGGGGTCCCGTAGCGATAAGCAGGAATGTTATGGAATATGGTCAATCACTGGCAGGCTCAGGATGTCGTCCATCCGCAGTGACTGGCATCAAATTCCGCTGCATGGGCGCTGACACAACCCAAACCTTAGGTGGGTGCGCAGTCCCGACCAAGAGGAAATGAGGGTCATGAAAGTCAAGCATGATCTTCTTGAAGACTTTGTAGTTCTTGCTGGAGACCCCATGAGACCCCCCTGTCCAAAAAAAAGGCACCACTTAGCTCTTAGAACCCTGAAACGGCGAGTTCGGAGCCGAGTTCCGAGCACGGGGGAGCACGTGGGGTCCCAACCTCCTCGAGTTCTGAATTCGGAACCTGGAGGATCTCACATCTCTCCGGGTCCACGTCACATGGTAGGACAAAGATTGGACCTGGCCATTTGGCCATCGGAGTCCTCACTGCACTCACTCCTGGGAGAGCAAGGTGCTGCGAAGCAGGCCTGGCCAAGGCCAAGGCGAAAGAAAAGGATTACAGGACTGGCTAGCATTCAAGTTACGTGTCCTTGCTCAATTGCCAATCCCTTCGGAGCCAAGTGACTAAGTCACTTCATAGTTGAAGTTCATGACGTTTGTTTCATGTGTTTGGGTTGTACTGGTGCATCAGCATTCCGGTCGGTTGCATCGCTTGCGTGTCATCAGGATATCGGCAACTAACCCCTGAAGAGACGCGCAACTCCGGCAACCTGGAGGCACTCAAGTTGTACTCTCCCGTGTAGTTCACCCCTGTTTGGTATTCAAAAAAAGTGTCTTCCTTCGGGACCATTGACCATTTTCATCCATGCCATCCACTTCCATGTTACTTCCAGATTGTGTACCTCGTGACTTTCATGACAGCTCACCAGACTCGCCCCTGTCGTCGCAAGAACGACCCCCAATCACGTCGTCGCCCAATTGATTGGTTGCCGAAGAGCAATGGATTGGTTGCAGCAACAATAGGACAAACAACTAAAGTCACTGTGGAGAAACGTACTGAAAAAGGGCGAACAAGAGCAATAAACAAACTATTTAAAAAAAAAAAAAAAACTCACCGATTCTGCTAAAGACACACACAAACACACTTCCTCATTGAAGTCCATATCCTACATTCTTGACCTACGCAACTGCACTGCTTAACAATTGCATACGATTGCTCACCTTCAGAAAGACTTGATGCATTCACTTCAACCTACCCACACCTAAAGGGCATGAATATATAGATACCCTACGCACCCAAACCCTATAAATTGTAGGGTTGATGGAAAAACCTAGGGTTTCTGAAGGAAACCCCAGGTTTTCCAAACCAATATTAAAATACGGGTTTAGTACGGGTATGTACGGGTTAAATATGGGTTTAGTACGGGTTAAATATGGGTTTAGCACGGTTTAGAAAGCAAGACCCGAGGTTTTAAGAACAAACCTGAGGTATTTTTGATTTCACAAGAATACCCGAGGTTCCGATTGAGACCCTACAAATTTATAGGGTTTGGTTGCGTAGGGTATATATAATGATATAATATCCCGCCTTATAGGCCTTGCACTTGATGCATTCACTTCTAAATATCCCTTTTGACCGCCTCAAATTAGGGCCTATCCCTGAGTGTATCGGTGAGCCACCTGCTCGCCGACCTCGACCTGCCGTCCCCCCGAGGCATCGTGCCTGTTGCCCGGAGCAGTCCGCGCGTCGCCCGCGGCACCGCGCCGTCTTGGCGTAGCCGGCGCGGAGCTCCTCGGCGTAGCGCTCGTCGGCAAAGGGCCGCAGGGCCTCGCACAGGCGATCCACGCAGCTCATGCCGTGGAGTTCATCGCTCCAAACCTGGGCGAGGAGGGCGTGGGCGCCGGCGCGGCGACAAGTCTAGTGGTCTAGTCAGACCGGTTTCTGGAGAGTTCGACCGGTTCATGTGGAGGGGCAGACAGAATGTGTGAAGTGTGAAGTCCGGTGGCAGAGAGGTGGGGAGAGGTGGGGATGTGAGGTGTGAGGTGGGGATGTTGTTGGAGCAATAATGAGGACGTAGGTGGGATAGAGGTAGGTGGATGGGTCTCGAGTCTAGATTAGGTGTAACAGTGGTGGGGAAAATGATTGAATTTGGGGAGATGATTGAACATGTTGAAATATGATGCTGAAAAATGCCGAGAAAGCAGAATGGTTGAACATGTTGGAGAATGTGGCGAGATGCAGGGCTGCTTTTAGATCTGGTGGACTTAGGAAATGGTGTTTGAAATTTGGCTTTGTGCACATGAACAGAAATGGTGACGAAGTTTCGCCCATCACTGGGGACTGTCTTGGCATTCCTCCCAAGCCAAGTCTCCGTAGATGCCGCATGAATGGGCTGAGCCAGTGGCCGATTCGTTTTAGGTTATAAAGTTATATAGTTTAAGTTCAAACGTGCGAATGATTCAAGAACCGCCAGCTGACCCCAAATTGAGGGAAAAAGAAGTGGTCAAATAAGTCCACACCCAACGGACACCCCAAGGCAGAAACTCCTGGGTGTGTATTAAATGACCTCCCAAACACCCCCTGGAAAGAAGGGAAATAGACCAAAACCGCTTGGAGGTTGTTCCTTTCAGAGGAGCATGACTAACGTTCCGTCTTGGACCGAATCCTGACAAGTCCTGCCTTGAATTTCTTCGAGCCCAAGGGATCTTGAGCTAATCTCCCCACAGCTGACATGGTGATTGGTGAAGCTTCTTCATAGGAAAAAAAGGCGGTCAGTCTGAAAAAAAAAACAACAACACATGAGTATCTACACACAAATCTGGAGGATCAAGGCTATCAGCACTCCAGACTTCCCAGACTTCCCCTTCTCTCCCTCACTTCCCTCCAGGCGACGAAATCCGCAAAGGTGATCACGTCACGCTGCGCGTCGTATAAGACGCAGCTGGGACGGAGCCCCGCTCGCCCGGCCGTGGCGGGGCCGTTCGGGCCGTTGCCGTTGGGGTCGGAGCAGCGATACTTGGACAAGGTCTTGGAGAGTTGCTCCCCCACCTCAGGGGGAAACATGGTGGAAACATGCTGGAAGATGTGAGAAGATGTGGAAGATGTGAATGTCCCCCGACACAACACTATAGTAATTCTCAAGTTGAAGATGTGGATGGCAGATCATTGAAGGGGAAACCATATTCACAAGAAACCCTAAAATGTCACGGTCAGTGCATTTTCCGGGAAAGAATGACACACACCATATGTGCCAAATGCAAGGTGCACCTTGAACAAAAGCTTTTTAAGGTGCTGATCCTTCTTAGATTCTCTGCAATCAGCAAAATACTGCTCCAGGGTAGTGTTACAAGGGCAGTTGGCCACAAAGACACGGCCACAACTCTGAATGCCCATCTGCAAGGGAATCACGCTGTGAGGAAACGCCAGGTTCTCATCGTTGAGGACCTCCGGAAACTTCCGCACGAATTCCTCACAGCGCTGCAAGTGAACGCCTTCGACGCTGGCGGCCACATGCTGCAGGTACCAACATTCTTTCCTTGGTTCGCTTCGCTTCGTTTCTGGGCCGTGGGCCCAAGGCATCAGGCATCCATGGGCCATCTGTGTGCTTTGCCAAGGGCTCTACGTATGAAATGTCTGGCCATCTGCGGGTTCGTTTCTTCGGGCCGTTCATTTCTGCGGGCCGTGCGTTGCGAAGTAAGTACTCATGGGGATTTGCTGGCCGCAAGATGGACCTGCATGAATGAACACGGTGCTTCTGCTACAGTACCTATGCGAGAATGTAAGATCATGTAAACCTCGTGCATTCTGCTTGCTTCCAAGCATCTGGCCCTTCTGGTACAACATCCATGCCTTCTTCCGTACCGGCCAAAGTGTCGGCTCCGTCAACTTCTCGAAGGGCGACACTAGCCAGGCCAAAGTGACCAAGCTCTGCTGGGGGTGAAAGCCACTGTGGCCCACTGCCAAGGAGCTCAGGGTCTTGAAGCTGTTGCCTGGTGGCCGACCCCCGACCAGTGAGTCCACAGCGTGAAGGAATTGAGGTGACAGCAGTAAGGGAGAAACCAATCGAAACCACCATGTGGAAAGCTATAGTCCCCACGAAACCAAGGAAACCATCAAGTCATATATATATATATTAAATATATAGTTATATAATATATAATGTCAGGTTATATAATAAGTTGACCAAACGGGCGTTTGGAAACAAGTACTATTGCACAATCATTCCGACATGGATTCTAAAAATACATCACGGAAAGAAACACCAAAAAGGTCCGCATGTCCACCACCACGAAGGGTCGTGATGCTGCGTTGTTGTTGTTGTTGTTGTCGTTGTCTTTTTGAACGCGCGGCGGCGACCCAATGGTGTCTCTAGAAACGATCAGGACCGAGGAACTTCCAGGAAGGAAGGGATGGACTGGACACCTGAGGAACCCTCCAACATCCGGAGGCGATTTGGGGCCCAACGGCGGCCCATTGGACTCACTCATGATCACTCATGTGACTGTGGGTCAAAAACCGCCAAATCCTGAACCACCAAAATAAACAAAATTAACAAAACATCAGTGGTGCCAAGCCTTTTTGGGGTGCGTTTGGTATTGGCCCAGAGCCGTAACAATTCATTCATTCCGTCCTCCTTCCCCAGGTCCCACCTCTGCGCAGCCTCGTCACCACACTGGCGTCTGCAGGGTAGAGGTCCTCGCTGCTGATGCTCATGCCGGTGGCAGTTGACTTGGTACTGCTACGGGAGGCAGCCACTTTGGGCGCCAAAGCCGTATACCTCAAGTGGAAGGCAGAGGCATAGCGTTCTCCTGCCATGCCCCAAAGCAACCTCTCAAACTTTTCCACATCATCTGTGATGCCTAGCGATCCCATGCCCTCTAGATCAATGATGCTTAAGGTCTCCGTCTTCGCATCATAGAGCACATTGCTGGGATGGAAGTCAGTATGGTAGGTGGGTTCCCCTGTCATCGGGTCTGTATAGCGTAGATGGAACTCCGCCAAGAGCTCCCCGATCTTCATCGCCACGGCCTCCAGCTGCTCCTGGTCTTGGGGCTTTCGGAGGTCCAGGTCCGCCACATAGCGCCCCAGCTGCACGCCGGGGCACATGCGAGAGATCAAGAGGTCCTTCGTGTGCTCATAGGTCTCACTCTGGAGCTCGACAGAACTGTGAGGAAAGGCCAAGCTTGGATCACTCACAAGAGTCCTGAAAAGGGTCGGATTCCAAAAAGATCGGTTTTCTCCGTGGTTGATTAGATCTGGATACCATCTCAAACCAAACGCTCCATGTATGGTATATTTGCCTACATTGGCATTGGGGCGGTTTGGGGGGTCAATGTAGGCATATATGGCATACAGTGAGTGTATGGGATATATGATATGATATATATATATATGACATGATATGACGTGATCAGGATCCTGACTATATCCGGTTACTCAAATGGTTGGATCTGGAAGTGGCTTGGATCGCTCCGATGCACTGCTTTCGCCAGGTCTCGGAAACTTCTGGAGCAGCTGGTCGCAGTTCTCAAGCTCCGTGGGGAGATTCTTCCGGCGCACACTGGAGACCTGGCGATGACAAGTAAGAACGAAGTAGTTTGGTTTTGTGTGTTTGCTTGAGTCTTTTTTCGCTCTCGTTCATCCGGTGATGACAAGGAGTTGTAATTGGATGCGTTCCACCGGTGTCCGGCGTTCGGTCGGCGAATGAGACGGACCTCGACCGACGGACCGTCCGGTAGAACACATGGACCGGACCTCTGGTCCGGACGTGTCGGACATCGAGACGGACCGACGTCAAGACGTCCATGGACAACGGGACAACAGATTCTCCATGTCATGACTAATGATGGAGATTCCAAAGGAAACCATCCAACACATCGGATCATTTTTCCAACAAAACCATTGTCCCATACACGACTAATGGGACTACATATATGCCAATCAATTGACCCCCCTGGCACCACCCCAATGTCAAATATACCCATGGAGCGTCAACAATTTGGATGGATTGAATCCAGCCCTATTTCTCCAGCCCTATGGCTTCCCTTGGTTCTCGGGTCCCACCTGCTTGATCATCCACCCGCACCGGTCGCACCGACCGCCCTCCTTGGGCTCCAGGAGCCAAGCGGAGTGGCCGAGACCGATGGGACGCAGCTGGACCTCGGCGGAACGGTTGGAGCTAGGACCTCTGGGTGACCAGTTTACCATCTTTCCACACAAATTCATACAAAATGCATCACATGATCTTACCTCAACAGCATAATACACATCAAGGCAAATTTCATCATGTCCATGTCTTTGACCAAAGCCCCAACAGTCAAAAGTAAAGCGCATCACAACATCACCACCTAGGAGCTAAGACCTACAACTTACAACCAAAAATCTCACCAAAGGTTCTATCCTAAGTGCATGTCATGAATGTCCGTCATAGCTTTACATCATAAAGTCCATTAAAATCCTATCTTGGAAGCTTGTCTAAAATGATGTTTGTTTAATTGTTTCGTACATATGTTGTGTCTTATTTGTTAATATCTTCTCATCATCATGTTTAAGATGTTCATCTACTAAATCCGTGTGTTTCCCTTGTTTCGGGATGTTTTACACAAGTTTTCCAAAGGTTGCAACCTTCATTTGTTCCTTTCTTGTAATAAACACAAATGGCAAATGTTTCAAGTTTACAGTATGTCTTCTTAGACTCCCTGCACCTGTCTAGGAAGACCTGTGGCGGGAACCTGGCCATCTAAAATCATGTTCAAACAATGTTCAAAGCTGGCTGTGAGGTCCCGATGCTGGATGGAAGTGCTGCATCTAATTGAATTGCTAAGCACTTCTCAATGTGTCTATGCAAAGCACGCCCCATCCAACATGGATTTTGGGAGGCAACCCGGGTCGATAAGCTCACCCGAATAAAGGAGGCTGAATAGTTTGTCCATCTGCTGTAGTTGAGCAAGTACAGAAGTAGTGACTAGCAAGGCGGGCACACTTAAAAACAATACGTACCTACAGGGGATGCACAATCTTGCCGAACAAGAACATAGAAGTTCATCATCTAAAGTCTGGGGCATACTGTTGGTGAAGAGTTGTGTTAAGGTTCCAGGTGTTGATGACCCTTTTGCGATGTCCTTTAACTGTTAGGACTGCTGTTAGGGCTTTGGTAAAAGACATGATTAATTTCACGTGGAAAGATTTGTGTGATGAGTTGGTGTGATGATGGTTTAGGGGGATGGTATTTCAAAATGCTGCTGAGTGATCCTAGCATGTCCTAGCTCTATAAACCGCCCAGAGTGGGTGGTGCTGGTTGCTCATGAGTGGAAAATTGGATGGGTTGTTGGGGCTATGCTGATCCCAGATTCTGGACTAGAAAGGCCGCTTGCGGCTTGCGGTCCTTGGGGTTCTGTCTCGAAATGATGGTCCAATGAGAGGATATCACATTTGACAGGTGGTGTTTGAGGGCCAGCTCTTCATTCATGCTAGTTGTAGATTGTAAAGTGATGTAGTCACAATATGTGCCAAGAAATCTCTCTCTCTCTCTCTCTTGGGCTCTCTGCAGGGGGAGTTGACAAAGTAGTTGCCAAGCAGGAATTCTTATCATGCAAAGGAAAGCAAGCGCAACACATTACAACTGGGTATCAAAGTTCCTGGAGTTCAGTTGGGAGCAAGGACGATACGAACGGGGCTACTAGGACCATTGCTACGTGCTTGCTTTTCCGTCTGCTCCTCTTGTGCCGAGGGTCGGAATCGGGCGACACGCTGTCATCCAACAACCTGGTGCGGTGCCGGTGCGGTGCGAAGGTTTAACAAGCTTGCCATCGACTCTCTCAAGTGTCACTCCCAAGGCAGGATGTTGCAATTTCAATGTGGGATGTGCTTTGTTGATCTCACTGTTAACAAATATACAAAGGAGATCCAAGGAGTTGATTTTTTACAAACGGTCTTTGGACCCAAAGCACCTCAGCAGCTCCGGCACGGCGCGCGGATCGAAGCATCCGGAGGCTTGTCGCAAGAGCCCCAGGCGCTGCAGTCCGGGCGGTCCGGTTTTCCGCGGTCCGGTGTTGGGCGAGAGCACGGAGCAAAGGGACATGGACATGAGGCGGAGCCGTCTGGTGGCTCACACTTTGAGCCCAAATGGCTGGGTTGTTGTGAGTTGTTGTTCTTTTTTAATCTTTATTGTTTTTTCTGTGTTGTTTCGTTTTCGCAATCTACTGCAGTTACGGAGCTAGTTGCAGAGTCAAATAGCTGGCTTCACATCAATTGAGAAAATCGCACTTCCTGGAATGGACAATCCAAA